CCCCATAGACCAAGATCCAAGCTTTTATATATTGTGACTTAATTTCCTCCTCGGGGGTATGCATAGCAACGTAATTTTGTAGTGGGAGATGGCCGATTTTCGATAAGGCAGATTCACGATTGCAGTTGTAGCAACGCTTTTATCCGTAGTTGAGGCGAGGTGGTATAGCAAAATCGAAGCAGAGAACCCGCCTGAGAGTGGTAAGTCCGAAGCTGACGAAAATTCATCGATGTTTGGTATGCTTAAGGTTGCTTTCGACTTCGATTCAGATGTGATTCTTCTCGTCTATCCCAGATATGCAGAGCATGCTGACCGATTACATCGGCACAACTGGAAGTTGAAGAATTCATTGTTGACGGCGCAGTAGACTGACAGATCCGTCTAACCGTAGCCTGAGCGTCTAAGAGAAATATTTTTTGACAGTCACTTTATAGATCGTGACCTAGCCGACATGTGGTGCTCGGCTTGCCAAGCTACCATGGATGGCAGTCTTTTTTTGAGTCGAGTGAGGCAGTGTAGTGGACATTGCATTCTTTGACATTGCAGGTGCACAGCGGGCGGTACATGACGAGGGACGCAAATCCATCGAACGTCCAAGTCACGTGTATGCCGGGGATATAAAGCCAATGAGATGGCGGCTCCTCCATTCTGCCCCTGTCGATCGCGACGAGACAGATGAATCCCGGTGCATTTCCTCGAGTGCCGGACGACAAGATCTTCAATGGCACACAAGTTACAAGGTGGTTCCTGTATCGCGAATAGACTGTTACCAATTCGCAGCGATTCAGAGGCCACTGGCGTGGCTACGAGCTCAATATTTTCCATTCTCGGGTTTGTCGTCGCAGTAGCCGTCGCCATGACATAAAATGCGTGGTGGAGTGGCGATATCTCAACAATGGACGAGTGAGCAATGAAGATGCAGTACCGCTGCTCCATAGCACAGCCGATCTGTACCCCGGGGTGCTCGTGAGCCATATTTTAGCAAAGATCGAATGTTGTGCTTCCCCATACCAACGAGTCAAGGCCATGGACTTGTTGTGAACCCCATGCCACCCTTCGACAATACCCGACCCAGCCCTCTGCACGCGGGATCTTGACCCGGCCGTGAAGTCTGACACTAGCATTCCCTGCTGTGGAGAGAGTCATGGATCCATATGACTGGTAGGTGGAAGAGTGACGGATAGACATGAGTGGAGGAGGGCATTAATTTGGAGCGAGAGGAGCAACGCCGGAGACATACATGGCGATACGGTCTTGAAGAACAGTATGATGCAGAGGATCGAGTGAGACTTCTGCCGTAGCTCCATCGATCCGGCATGGTGTACGAGGCAGTATGATTATCACATCGTTTTGCTCTTTGCCAATCTTAGGGGAATTAGAGTTTCGCTCGCGAAGCCGAAGCTAAAAACAAAGTAATCTCAGTTTCTTGTAAATATCCCAAGTGGCTCGCGCTTACCAGGGGATGAGCGTTTGCACATGGACCATCTGCCTCTACGGATTACCTATTTCGTCGCCACAGCTTTGGTTAGAGAGCAAGCAGCGACGGCGATGAGACGCGATGTTGAATGGATCCCTAGTCTTAGCCTCAGTCCGGAGAGTCACTGGGTTCATTTTTCTCCGAATGAGCCATTGTTGTCCGCTGATATGCAGTCGTGCTTGATGCCGTGTAAGTCGTCTGCCTCCTGTCCCAGATGGAATGTGGGCCGCGGTAAGGTGTCGAGGTCGGCTAGAGACGGAAGCTCGAATCATCAGGCCACTTTCAGGACTAGACCATAAAGTGGTACTATTTGCAGCCTGTCAGAGACTGGGCACATGACTTTCAAGGCCTCCATCAGCAGGGCGTGTGTTTGTCCCGCTGTCATGTCTACGACCCGCATTCTTGCCGAGGCCCTTCGTTGACAGAGGCACGAGTATCCAGCTCATCACCGCGGACAGAGAAGTCTGTCCGCAAAAAGGCATGCGTGGATATGGTTTTCCTAGACCGGCGAAGTGAGGGGTTGTGGCATAGGCATTCCGCCATTCTGGTCAGTCTAATAGTTGGAGATGGACGGCACTCAATCTTCTAATATGACTTTTACTAGATTCACGCACCATGTAGAGGTCTGGGAAACATATATAACCTCGTAAAGTCTTCGTTTTAAAACTTGCCACCTAGGCCTCATAAGCAGATCATGTTACTGGAATACACGTAACTATATAGATATTTGCCCTTGCTTTGATGGTCGCATTGGATGAATACGTTCTTACCTCCTGGGCTAAGAATTTTGAAGATGTCAGAACATAATTTTCGAGAGAAGCCCAGGCCAAGCTGTAACTAAGTGTACACACGGGTCTCTAAACATGTGTGCTGGCTGAAATCATACCGGATGAATCATAAAATCAAAATAAACAAGCCAGTTAGCTAGCACACATGATCATGGTCTTGTGTGCTCATGGGTGTATCTATGTACTGGGATTCTCCCGAAGAAACTGCCGTCGGCTTTGTGTACATACATAACAACAACTCGTCACTCCCACTAGTACGTGGCAATGGAAGCCTATATCCTTCGATACATCCAGAGCACGTCTTCGTCATCAATTACTCGATAGCAATACTACACGAGGTCGAGTCTTACTGGGAAGATAGCTAAAGGTGTACAGACTATGCTCATATGTCCAATCTAGACATGATACCACTGCACGCAGCCCCGAGCCCTTATCAGCTCAAGGGCTCTTTGGTGATGGGTAAATGACAACCGTTCTTCCATTGCCCCGCCTTCCTTCACTGTGGCAGCTGTCCACTTTCTTCGTCCGCTTGACCTTTCTTCTCTAGCGAGGAGGGAATGTTGGAGGGTCGGGTCATCGATTGGGATCAGCGTGATCGACGGTCAGGGCCATCTGAGCGTCCGGCAGCGCAGGGTCAGACAGAGTAAATAAGGGGTGATGGCGATGTCGGAGCCGGCCGGCCGGGCGTCAGGAGATGCGAGGGTGATGACAGCTTGCGGCGGGCAATTGGCGGCGCCGCGAGAGGATCGGGCCCGGAACAGTAGATTCGGTGCGGACGAGTCGAATGTTTTTTTCATAGTCTTCGTCTTCATCTTAATCGCTAGACTGCCAGCGCTTATTCTCGCCCGACGGAGGACGCAAGAGAGGTGCAGTTAAAGCCGACGCAACCAAATGCAGGCACGGTCGCTGGCGGAAAGATGTATGATGGCTCGAGGCCGATGGTGCAGAAGTAGATGCGACTGGTGGTCGCAGCGCTGACTGGCAACTAGCCCTGTACCACGGCGCCCGATAAAGACGTATGAGGGGACGACGAGAACTTTCACGGCTCTGTTGACCTGGTCTCTAGAAACCCATCATTTTTGCCGTGCTCCTTAGGGGGCAACGAAAGGGGGAGTAGTGTCAGCTACTTATCTCAATAGACTTGGTGCAGCAGTCTTGACCGTGCGTCTGGATACACCATTCGCCGTGACGCCAGAGGCCCGCTGGCGACCAGAGCAGGTCGCGAGGTCCGGGAGATAGCAGCGAATGAGCATGGAACGAGTCGCTGGGCGCATCGCAGATCGGCCATGCCGCCTGCGCGCCAACGGCCAGTGGAAGCGTCGGCGGATGACGGAAGTGCAGCAGCCGCAGCCGCAGCAGCAGTAGTGGTCGTCGCCGTCGCCGCCGCCACGGAGAGTGAGCGTCCGGCAAAAGGAACAAAAGTTTGCGTCGGCGCGAATGAGTGGAAAGAGGAGACGGAAAGTCGAGTCCGGCTCTCAAGCAGGCGCAGGCGCAGGCGCAGCACCATTGACGAGTCTCAGCCTTCTTGTGACTGAAGGGCGCGCGCTGCATGAGGAGACGAGTGTCGGCGAAACGGAAAAGTGCCAGACGTGGCTCTACTCGCGCCACCCGTCCTTTCACTAGCCGTAGCCAGTTTTTGCGCCGCCCAACCAAGTCTCGACCGCTCGATTCGCCTGGCCCGATGATGCTTCGGGAGCCCAGGAACACAATTTGCGTGGGCCTCGCCATCTGGACTCTGGTTGGCGTCACACCTCGCCTGCGACGGCGGCTATTTCTTCTTTCACGCCGCCCGCCTCGCTTGCCAGGCCGGAGCCGTGATCCATTGGCCCCCTCGCCTCCCCGCGCCAGACACACACAAAATCTGGAGACGGGCTCCCCCTCTGCATTGAACTCGTGCCCCAGTACTTTTTAACAGGAGGGGACCACTACCACCACCTCCACCTCGTGCCTTGCCGACTCTCACTGTCCCCTCTCCACCAATCCCATGTGCACAGCTCATCCTTTCTAGCGTAGCCTTGGCGTTGCCATCTTTCACCCACACTCTTTCCATGTCCCATTACCTTCTCCGACACCTCGTCCTCCCCTTCGAACTCTACAACGACACAACTAAGCCTGGAATCTCCCATCCGCTGTCGCCCTCATTCGTCTCAAAATCAAAGGTAACGCTGTTCCGTCTCTTTCGTGCGATCGTCATTGATTTGATCGTGGCCTGCCTCGGCCGTCACATCCTGGTCCTGGGCAACTCATCTAGTCCCTCCGGATCGTCCTCGACTTCTTGACTCCCCCCTGAAGCGCACACCCCTTCGCTCCGACTCACCTTTTCTCACTCTCCCCTATCGGCACCCACCACTTGGGCGGGTTAAGTAACTTCTTCTCTCTCCACCTCCACCCTTCAACCGCCGCCGTCAACTTCCTCCTTTACGCCTGTTCATTGCAAGTCTCGCAATCGCCTCTCCCATCCCCCTCTGAATCTTTGGCGGCCGCCCTCGCTACTCTCAACGTCTGGATGCCCCGGTGACACTGGCTAGCTCTGGCCAAGAGCGACTCCATTGATTCATTTGCCATCTGCTCCTCCGACTTTCGCCCCTACTTCCATTTTGGACATGATTGAGATTTTGACCATTTAAAAAATTCGAAGACTCATCATTCGTCCTCATCCATCGGCCTGTGAGTTCAGCTGCTTCAAGCCACTTTCTGTTGTGGTGACAACGACAACATAGCGACCTACGAAAATCATGACCGCTGGAACCGCTCTCGAGGATCGCTTCGAGGTCCTCAAAGATATCGGAGATGGCAGCTTTGGAAGCGTAGTACTAGCTCGAGTGCGGGCTGCCGGCTCGAGTGTGGCGAGACGAGGGACGGTGGTGAGATGGCAACGCGCTCTGCCCTTTCAGTGCTTCCGCTAACCATGCCACCCTCAGATCGCCATTAAGACTATGAAGAAGAATTTCGAATCATTCGCCGCCTGTTTGGAATTACGCGAAGTCGTCTTTCTCAGCACGCTTCCCCCACACCCTCATCTAGTTCCCGCCCTCGATATCTTCTTGGATCCGTTTAGTAAGAAACTACATATAGCCATGGAATACATGGATGGTAATCTCTACCAACTCATGAAGGCGCGCGATCATAAGTGCCTCGACATCTCGAGTGTAAAAAGTATATTGTTTCAGATCATGCAGGGCCTCGAACATATCCATGCCAACCACTTCTTTCACCGAGACATTAAACCCGAAAACATTCTCGTCTCAACTTCAGGTCAACAAGAAACTGGTAGCTCTTTCCGCCGCTATTCAGCCCTCATGACGCCCCCCTCTACTCCACCTGCTTACACGGTTAAAATTGCTGACTTTGGACTGGCGCGCGAGACTCACTCAAAGCTCTCTTACACCACATATGTTTCTACGCGCTGGTACCGAGCGCCCGAAGTCCTGCTCCGAGCTGGCGAATATTCGTCGCCAGTCGATATTTGGGCCATGGGTGCCATGGCTGTCGAAATTGCAACCTTAAAGCCTCTTTTCCCTGGCGGTAATGAGGTGGACCAGGTCTGGCGCGTATGTGAAATAATGGGCAGCCCCGGCAACTGGCACAATGAATCTGGTGCTCGAATAGGGGGCGGAGAGTGGAAAGAGGGAACCCGACTAGCGAGCAAGCTTGGCTTTTCCTTCCCAAAAATGGCCCCTCATGCTATGGATTCCATTATTCAGACTCCTCAGTGGCCTGCTTCGCTCAGCAAGCTCGTGACGTGGTGTCTCATGTGGGACCCTAAATCCCGGCCTAGCTCAACACAGGCACTTATGCATGAGTTCTTCACAGATGCCACTGATCCCCTTCGCCCCAAGCCTACTACCCCAAAAATATTAGGTCGCAAGCATTCAGACATCGTGCATCGTAGTTCCAAAGACTTGTCCGAATCTATGCACGTGGTTGCCGGCAAGTCCTCGTGGTTCAGGAAATCTTTTATTGGACGATCGGAACCTGCTCATGAGCATGGTCCTGTTCAAGGAAAAGATATACTACCACTGCGCGAATCACCATCACAAGCACCCCAGGTTATGGTGGCCAAGACACGGGTCCCCCAAAATAAACGATCGACGTGGAACCACGGTCCATCTAATGGGGCTCCTATTCTCATACTTCCAACAATTCGACCCATATCTCCCCTCTCCGATACTGTCACAGCCCAGGCTAATGCTCGAAATGGTCTTAACCCCGACGATCACGGCGGCAAAAAAATTGGCCGTCAGCTATCTATTGCATCAGTCAATAACCATTACACGGAAATGCATCGTCAAGAGGCTGAGATGGCACTTAACGGCACGACTGGCCTAGTTTCTCCACCCAACGGCCAAAAGGAGAGCTTCTTTTCCCATCTACGGAAACGGGCCCGCCGGTTTTCCGGACGCCAATCCCAGATTCCTATTACTCCAAAATCGATGGATATTGAGCCTCATGCAGGCTGTGGACCTTGGGCCAGTAATAGATCGTCGGTGGTGATGGATACAAATCAAGCAACAAGCCCTATTCACAAATTCGATACAAATGAAGCTCTTGATCGCGCCTTACGTAACGTACAACAAAGCCTCGAATCTCCGCCTGGAGGCGCTGCACACTTCCCCTCGAACGGTTCAGCCGTGCATACAACCTGTATTCCGAAACGTCATCACTCTCTTCCGCAACACGCCCGATCAACTGATAACTTGCGCAGCATGGGTCGAATGCGTCGCTCTCAGTTACCTGCAGGAACTTGTCAATACGAAACTCCCGAGGAAGAAGATGAGTTACGCGCTGCCGAGATCACCCAAGACGACAAGGAGAGCAAGGCCATAAATCACGCCCCAGTTAGCACGGACCTACGCCGAACGCACGTTTCTCCAAGTAACCTGGGCCTTGCCAGCCCTTGTCTTACGCCTCTACCTTTGCATCCTATTCCCATTGGGCTCGATCGCTCGCAGTGTTCACCACCCTCGTCAGAGGCAGATGGAAATGAATGGGCCTCGTCTGCTGCAGCTAGTATTTTTGCCGTCTCGCGATGTTTTTAATCTAGTTGTGCATGACTTGTGTCTCTATTTCTTGCCTGTATTCCTTTTAATGCGTTCGGAATTATGGGATACATTATTCCAACCTTCACTCTCGCGAGTGCCTTCGCGACTTAGGGGCCGTTGGTCCCACACATCTTTCTCTCCTTTTCTATAATTATTACTGCCGTAGGACCTGTATAGATATGGCTGGAGCAAGGTGCACGATCTAATTTGTTTCATTTATCTGGAGTACTGGCTCCCTTCTACGAGTCTAGACGATCTACGTTTCCTAATCTACGCCGAATTTACAAAAGGCCGGATCCGGGTACGGCTTAAATTATACTACACTCTTTTATTTTTCCATCTCACGGTATTTTCTGCGTATTCTCGGGTTGAATACATTGTTTTATATTTCACAAGCGGTCTAGGGGGTAGACTTCAGCAAAATTCTAGTCGGGAAGTGGTGTTCGGGACTTTGTGCCCTGGCGAAGGTTGTCTGTCTTGGGAATGGTTTTACTTTATGTTGACCGACTCACCGTATTATTGAACTATATTATCAGTAGGCGGTGTGCCACTACGTGTCATGTCCAATTGGTACGAAGTTAGGAATTGTTGTTAACAGTTGCGTAGCTGGTTCAAAAAGTAGCTTAATTTAATGTATCATCACATGCTAGCATGATAGAATATATTTGGATATATTCATCATTTATCTCAACAAAACAAACTTCGAGTCTTCATGCACAAAAACTTATTACTATATTGGCAGTTGATGTATATGTGCTCTCTATGAAGTGTCTCGCCACAGCTTGAAGTACTTTACGCGCATGGAAGTAATAGGTTGACAGGACCTTTAGTACGTTATGGGCGGCTTTCACTGTTCACAGTTGACGGGATGAAGAAGGATCTGGGGCATGGCATTTGCGGATCACATCCCACGTTGTGCGCGGGTGATGAGCTCAGGGCAAGCCTCTACTAGACCCTTTGCCCGGTTGGAAGTCAGTGGTCTACCGTTGTGGGTCTATGACGCGTGAGCTGAGCAATCTTACGGCAGCGGCGGGCGGTATAGAGTGCTGCGGTAGACAGCCGGCTATCCCGCTAGCACGGTGAACTCTCAAAATATCCCCCACCCTCCCGCATGATTCATGATATTGCCGTAAGATACTTGACAACATTTAAAAGACGCCCATTGACCAACAAAAAATACAAGACTTGAAAGCGTTGGCGATATCTGTCACCCCACCAGATCACCCTCTCCTCTACCCTCATCCGCTCCCGCCATAGCCATAAAACAGCATCTGGCCGGTAAAATATTGCTAGCTTGGAATGTTTCATTGCATCTCAGGCCTGGATTTCCAAGGATGACATCCATATTCTTGTCGTCGCGTCGAAAGTTACACTTGAGGTCCAAGACCAAAGGGCTTCCGTATCTGATAGACGCTTCTAAGTCAATATGTAAACGACGTAATGGCCGTAGGATACATTCTGTAGTTGTGTTGGCTTGATGGAGAGGGCGCAATTACAACGTAGAGGAAGGAGTGAGTTCGGCATTCGGTAAAATGCACGACCATCTCTCTTCTTTCTACCGACCAGAAAATAGAGCATACTGCGCCTCTGCAGGTATCTAGCCATGGTACATTATCAGTAACTTTTGTAAAGATTGAATAGTCTTTGCGCAATCTGACACTCATACTGTTGGGACAAGAAGCAAATAATGTAGTGCGTTATATTGTCTTGCTAAAAATGGTCGTGTCTAGTTCGAGTATTTCCGCATGGAAGACTCGAAAGCCGTGCTTACCCAAGGATGTCTGGGTAGTTCTATGCCGTGAGTATTGCGCGCGACGCGACGCAATCGCATTTCACTTGGGTCGGCTATTGCTTATTTGAGGTAGCATGGTGTCTTAGCATTCTAATTTCTTCACCCGAGATGAGTTCGACTGCTTGGCTACGGCGCTAGGCTGCTACAGTTTCTTTGTTGGTGCACGCAGTGTTCTGTTAAGCTGGGTATTAATTCGGCAATAAAGCGTTTCCCTGTGCTCGGTGACGGTTGAATGTGCTTGTTCCTTACTTTTGATAGCTCCTTGTAGATTTCGTCGTGCGGCCTCTCGGCCGAAATGAACCGAGAGCATTCTTTCGGAACCGCCGTTCAATGAGTAGCTTGCCGAATCAACGAGCACAGACCGATGGCGTGCGGGTGCAGAGAGATATTTATGCCCAAGGTGTGTCAGCCTGCGCGACAAAATCACCTGAGGCTGCAGGGTCAAGCGAGGGTTAGAAATTTATTACTCGACCCGCTCCATGCATCTTCGTACTTAACTTCTTATCTACACTCTTCCAGCACTCTAAGCCGGAATTCAAGCCCCCGTTATTTTCGCTCATTCCTAGTTCCCGCCAGACGCCGCGATCATGGTGGCCGTGACCGAGGGGGAGGTGAGTCGAGACCCCGCGACCGCCTGTAGAAGGACTAACAGGCCGTCCATTAGACCATTACGTGCATGGTAGGCAGCCCAAGGCCCCTAGGCCGAGCTGTTGATTAACCAGCAAGCATAGGCGGCGGTGGCGTGGGAAGCCGGAAAAGAATTGACCCTTGAAGAAATCGAAGTGCTGCCGCCTCGTGCCCACGAGGTGCGTATTGCTATTCATTACACCGGCGTCTGTCATACGGGTAAGCACTCGCTAGTGCTCATGCCTAATCGCGACTAATTACTCGCGGTAGATGCATATACGCTTTCAGGAAAAGATCCAGAGGGCGTCTTTCCCTCCATCCTTGGCCACGAGGGCGCCGGTATCGTCGAATCCATAGGACCTGACGTGACTTCTGTCCAACCTGGGGATCATGTAGTCGCGCTTTAGTAGGGCTAACCTGCTCCCCGCCCATGCTAGCTGCTAACCGGTGGCTAGTATACCTGAATGCAAAGAGTGCAAATTTTGTAAATCCGGGAAGACAAATCTTTGTAGCAAAATTCGCGCGACTCAAGGAAAGGGTGTTATGCCAGATGGTACGTCACGATTCCGATGTCGAGGCCAGGATATATTGCATTATATGGGCACCTCGACCTTTTCCCAATATACAGTGGTCGCTGATATCTCGGTGGTATCCCTCCCCCGCATAGCTCCCATGGACCGGACCTGTTTACTGGGTTGTGGTATAACTACCGGTTATGGAGCTGCGATTGAGACCGCCAAAATAGAGCAAGGTTCTACCGTGGGCATCTTCGGTGCTGGCTGCGTCGGGCTCTCGGTGGTTCAAGGAGCCGTCAAGAGCAAGGCTAGTCGCATTATTGTCATCGACATTAATCCTGATAAGAAGGGCTGGGCCGAGAAGTTTGGAGCGACTGACTTCCTCAATCCAACCGAGCTTAAAAACCAGACAATAGTGGAGAAGCTCATAGAGATGACAGATGGAGGCTGTGATTACACATTTGATTGTACGGGAAATGTGGGCGTGATGCGTGCGGCTCTCGAAGCGTGTCACAAGGGTTGGGGACAGAGTATTATAATAGGCGTTGCCGCAGCTGGTCAAGAAATTTCCACTCGACGTAAGTCAACATTCAGCTCGATTATTTCAAATTTGATTATTAATTTATCTGCTATAGCATTCCAGCTCGTTACCGGACGCGTTTGGAAAGGATGTGCTTTTGGCGGAATCAAGGGCCGCAGCCAGCTTCCAGATTTAGTAGAGGATTACCTGCAGGGAAATTTAAAAGTAGATGAATTCATTACCCACAGAATGAAGTTCAGTGGAATTAATGAGGTATTTGATGTATTAAAACGTGGTGAATGTATTCGCTGTGTTGTTGACATGAGAGAGACGTAAATGTACGTAGTTCAGGCGGCTTGCTGTTTCGGGGGGGAGGGGTATGTTCATGTGCTTATATACTTCGAGCTTCAGGCAGATCTATTTGGCCAAATTTTCGAAACTTGTCACGTTTTAGGTGATGTATGCAATTATATCTCGCACAGCCAAGAAGCCAAAGCTAATCTCGCAGTACAATCCTTTAGATTAGCATCACATTCTTCAGTTGCCATGAAAGTAAAAGATTCGTTTTCTGGTCTAGAATCACTTGAGCAATGACCCAACCTGTATGTGGATGAGTGATAGGAGAGATGACTCTCGTCTATATTGAAGAAATTCATCATTCTTGCGCCCGCTAAATGAAATTTGTGTGCCAAATTGAACCTTAATTTCATTGCCCATCCAACGCCGATTTGCCCACTAATTTCAACGATATTCGACCTAATATTAGATTGCTATGCCCCCTTGATAGCGTGAGTTCTCTCTGCATGAAGCTGTGCAGCGTTCCGTTCGTGAGATTGTTTTTTACACTGGTTCACTCATGTCAACAAGGGTGTTGCAGTATGTATTCTCTAAATGGCAGATGGGATTTAGACCCAAGGCCAGAGGAGCAGCAGTACTTACATCTTCAAGTCCTTCGCATTTGTGGTCCTCTAATAGACGGTGTTTACCACAGAAATGGCCGGAGCAAAACCCGCAGTCACCAACAATCCGCTGCACGCCATCTCTGCAATCTTTAAAGGAACAGCGGATCTTTTTGGGCGGCATACCGCCCCGGATAGGAGATGTAAGGTGAAGTAAGCTTTCCCGTCTAATATTGTAGGTGGACAAAGAGTGTAGGGGTGATAGGTGTTTCCCGGCGTAGGATAGACGGAGATCTGTTTCCGGCCGTGATGTCTTGACAGAGAGTATTTCGGTGAGGTTCTGGATGGAGAGGCCGGTGGGAACGGATAGAGGTATAGCTGGAAGAGGTATGGTGAGCGCCTATTTTGGGTGGTATGGGTGGATAGTCTTCACTCACTGTCACCAGTCATGTTTTTAATAAAGATTTGGATGTTCGACAAGTGCTCCGATGCCTCTGAATTCGAGAAAGCCATGCTGACGGCGGGTATTGGACTAACTTAATATCACGTGAGGATCGCAAGGTCGTAGAGTGAGAATTGCTTGAAGGATAGACGGGTAGGAGGGCGTGGGTGCCGCGATGTTAGCTCGCTGTTCAGCGAAAGGTTGGTACTTTTCGGAGGTTGAAGCGAGATGCATAGGTCATGTTGGCGACGAGGGCGTCTCATCAACTTTATAAGTCTACACAAGGGTCCATAGGTTCCAACGTATTTGTGCCTTAGGTTCCGACATCAAGTTTGAAAGTTGACCACGCAGAGTCCCCCAGAAATCCGATTATGCCGGTAGCGCCAAATGCTGTTTAGCTGGCACGCGGCCCATACGACGCTGTCGGATGATTTACTTGCTGCTTTGTTGGCCGCAACCCTCGTTTCTTGCCTATTTTCTCCTCCCTCTAGCAAACCACACATGTCCACGGGACCACTCAGGTGCCCCTGTCCCATCTGAATTCCATCTCTCCATCTTCGCGCAGAACGTTGACTGAGTCAGTCAGCTGCGCAGATCCAAGGGCCATATGGATGGCTCGTTCTGCTCACGCTTTATGAGTGGAAATAGAAACACCAACCGTGTGGCAAGGTTCAAGGATTACCGACTCGACGGTTCGTCAAGTGAGACAAATGAACAAAAGTTCATTATCAGTCTACAAGCATTAACAGAGTGAATAGCCGCATAGATCAGAACGAATCAGCCGCACAGCCACCTCTCCCGCAAGGTCGACTAATTTGTGAAATTTACGCTCACATAGACAATTCAAGAATCAGCAAACTACACCGCGGAAGAGCGTGGAAAAGGAATATGAGGATTAGCAGAGATCGACGGAACGTTGCTGTCATGCGAGAATGAACATCTTGCAACCATCAGCCAACTGTCACCGTGCTCCCAGAACCTCCTGAACTTTAATCATGACTTGGCAAAAAATGCGACGGCTGGCTCGGCTAAAACCTATGTCTGTTGATGAGCTGGAGCCTTAAGTGGACACCAACCATTAAAAGGACCTCACCTTCCGGTTGATCACTAGCTGTCGCCTGCAACAAAAAAGAATGGCGAAAATTTAGTGGGACCCGAACTGCTAATGCTTGCGAATATGTACCCATCCTCGCCCTCACAATCGTCATTTACAGCATTGGGGCTCTGCATCAAGGCTATCAAAGATGGCGAGTCAACCCCGCCAATTTCCGCCACCTTCTCTCGACATTGACAATTAAATAAGAATGGCTCTGCTAGCATTTGAATGGTAGTCATCTTCATTCAGTATAAATCATGGATAGCGGTAGCATCATAAGGTTTAATCAAAGCAAAACTTTATCGGAATATATCTTGAATTATCTTGCATCCTTTAACCTCCGCAAAGTCGACAAAGTTCGACCTACATGCAATGCGTATCATTTATGAATTCATAGCTGCAGTGACGTCGATAATGTTCATCTTCGCGGTAACGGCGGAGGTTACTCCACAAAACCAGCCGGAAAAGTGGCCTTTAAGCCTTTTCTCACGCGCAAGTCACTTCATTAAAAGGTCTACAAATCGTCGTAGAGACATAGATGAAATCGCAAAACACGCGCAGCAAAAACGTATGCCCATCGGAATCATGAAGATGAGTCCCGAAGAAGGAGAGAAATTTTTTGCGACAAACTGGCTGTACGATGGAGATTTGCAGACGAACGGAACAGGAGTTCATAATGCTGCACCATCACAAAGAGACCTCGAGCCGGACGCTTTGATTGCACCATTCACTCTGCACTCTGATAGCTTAGATCTTGGTCAGATGGAGCCGAAATACAATAGCAGCAATGCTGTTGACTCACCCATACCGCTAAAAAAGAGAGATTTCAAGTGTCCGAAAGGTACCTCGGACTGCTCCGCAATTGGGCATTCTAATAGTTGTTGTTCAAGCGGAGACGTATGTTACGCTATACAAGATACCGGACTAGGACCAGTCGGATGTTGTCCTAAGAATAAGAACTGTAGTGGGAAGATAATGAATTGCGATTCCCCAAACACAGCATGTCCGGCAAGCCAAGGGGGTGGCTGCTGTATTCCCGACTATGCATGCGCAACATACGGCTGTTAGTATACGCCCAATAATTGCGATATGAACTAATCAATTCTAGGCATTATCCAATCAACGTTACTTGTCACTACGGTTATCACCGTCACAGCTGAACCTTCTTCTCATCCAGAAGTCACCACTATAATAAGCACCTTGTTTCCGACCCAGACCTGTGAAACGACTCACAAGCCATGCACTGAAAGCCCTGAAGGAGATTGCGGCTCGGGAAATGGAAGTAATGCATCGTCGAACGATGACAATCCCTCACCACAGACATCAGCGTCACATGTGTCATCAGATGCCGGGGCTGAACCTGTCCGACCCACAGGTATATCTTCCGTCCCACCAACATGGCCTCTAGGTGATCCTGAGGTCTGCCCCACCGGATTCTATGCTTGTAAAGCGTTCCATGCAGGCGGCTGTTGTCGGGTCGGAAGAAACTGTGATACAACTTCGTGCCCTCCTACGGCTTCTACTTCATTTGTGAGTGGGGGAGTGACGGTCGTTGCCCCTGTAACCTCGAATACGTCGGCCAAACCCACGGGAACCTGCGCACAAGGATGGAATATGTGTCCCTCAGACGAAGGAGGAAAGTGTTGTCCCGTCGGTTGGCAATGCGGGGTTGATAGGTGTTCCAATGTTGGTCCAACAAGCACTGGGGTTATAGACAAGGAAGATGTCAGTCTCGCAGGGCGGCAAGATACAAACTGGTTGGGCGTTGTTTTCGGTATTTCAATTCTAGTGGTAATTTCGACATGAAAATTATGTGCCAGGCAAAGGTCAACATCCTTATGGCGTTATATGGCTCAATGGACTTGCAAGAGGCTAGCTGAGATTTTACTTAAGGAAGTGGAGATAAAGTTTGTTTGCTTGGGTTTTTGTGATAGATGTGGAGATTGGGCGAAAGGCGTGTCATAACAGTAGTAGGGGATTTATAGGATTGTGCAGGCATGTCAAACGAGAAACATGTATTAAAGTTCAACTGATCAGGTTTGTTTACCATTTGTCTCGTTTCTTAAATCTGATAGGAACATTTTAAATCAGCCTTAAACACCATACACTTGTCTTTCCAAAAGTTGTGTCTCGCTAGCGGCATCGCCACGAAACGAGTACCTATCCTGTGCCACGGCTACCACACACTTCGTTCCTGCGGATGTGAGTTGTGGCCCAGTAGTGCCAGCTCTAATGGTCAGAGTAAGTGAGGAACATTCCCATGTCCTGCTTTATGTATTCCGCTCACAGTGGTTCAAGCGTCGTGTCGCGCGAGCAGGCCACGTTAGCCGTGCACAACGGCAACTGGGTTCAGAAGGGCCATTTCCGGGCGTAAATTAGACCTTGTCTCGAAAAGACTAGGCTGTGACCTGGGTTCCTGGCGAGGCCGCCCTCTCGCCATGAAGAATGTGGAGCGAGAGAGGGAAGACAAGGTGCCGACTCCACACCTGACAGCTTACGTGTCGCCTCCTCTCACCTTCTCCACCGGCCTTGATTCTCTGTCTTTGCCCCATCATACCAGCCTCAGTCTTGTTGATGGTCAAAGACTCGAGCAGGGGATTTTGCTCGGAGTTTCTGCGGGCGAGGATGCATACAGTCTTTCCCCTGACTCCATGTGGACGGGGAGGAGGCGCACTATCTTGCACAAATTGTCTTCCGCACAGGAGTCAAATATGAGGGCCACATTTATGCCGGGGGGGTAGCTACATTTACTGCTGCCACTTCACCTCTCACCAACCGGCTACGCCCGTCGACGCGAAATCGCGAACAGCCTTGTCTATCTCGTGATGCCTACACAATATCCTGCCATTTAGAAAAGCGCAGATTGCGGCTGGGCCTTTTTTTTTGCATCAGATTTTAATTGCGTATGCAGCTATCTAGCTATGACACAATATCAAAGAAAAGTACAGAAAAGATGACTCAGTTTACAATAGGAGCACTCATGCCTCGGATTTCATTTGCAAGTACCACTGCGAAGTTATGGCGGCTTTTTCTTCACCCCAAGTCAACCCTCATCCGTGAATACCCACCCAGGGGAACGTCTCAAAAACCCTGGGTTATCCAGACATGCCTCCGTCATCTATCAACTTTCTCCGCGCGGAATGTAATCTGAGATGTCTCCTTCCCAAGTGGAGTAGGTGCCCAGGCTACTCAAACTATACCAGAGAACACCACCGGGAGGCGGACCACTACACCTTCCATCGTCGGCTTGTTTTTATATTGTCAGCTGCTCTCTCACAAGCGAAGTCTTGGCGCGCACAAAGCCCAATTCGTAAAACTCTTGCCAAAATTCGAAATTACACGCCCGTCGAAAACGTATCCCTCTTCTGCATCATCTTGTAAACTTGTACTGATTCCTCTCACGTCCATCCCAAAGAGCTATCTCTCAGATTTGTGCTCCACGCTTTGCTTCCTCCATCGGATATAAATATCGGCGTGGGCGTGTATTTTGTGACCGGCTGAGGCCAGAGAAAGTCGACGAGAGGTGTGGTCATTGAAACGAGGATGTACTAGGTCGTACTTGTAGACTTGATGAAGCTTTTTTGAGAATCGGACTCTTTGGGAGTGAAAGATTGACATAGTGGAGTAATTTGAAATTTTGCCTCGTGGGCCAACTTCTTTGATACTGCGAAATTTGGCTGAACTTGGCTCTGGGAGAATATTTCACTCCCAAGTTCGTAGAGGACACCGCGTACAGGTGTTTAGTCTTGCCCTCCGCGGCAGGTCCTTGTTAGTATGACTCCAGCTGCTTTCCGCTTCGGTAGATCTTGGCGAGTCGGCTGTCACAGTCTGGGTGAGAGGCCGGTGCAGAGGGCATACTACTGCGCCATCTGGCCCTCCCACTATGATTCCGGCTGTGTTCTCAAAGCGAATTTGGGCGCCGTGGACCCTGAGGCGGACGTAGTCAGCTTACCCATGGCAGCTGCAGCCTGCAGTCTACCACAGGGTGTATAGCGCGAGTTGGCGAAACGAGATACAGGGCTGTCAGGTCGGACAGTTGATAAATGTCTGGATCCATATCGCACTCCTGCCCGTCTTAGCTTCTATTTTTATCGCTTTAGCGCCTTGATGACACGAGTCCTTTGCGAGCAATGGCGTCATGACATGCTTTCTATTTTTCTCTCTCTTTTCGGAAGCGCACGATAGCGGCCGTGGAGAATGCCATTCCCACCTCGGAGGAAAAAAGCTAGGTATGATGTCGTTCATTCGAGAAACGTCGACAAATTTGTCGCTCGTCCCACGGCGGAAGTTTTCCTTTGTGCGAAGTCGGCGTCGCCCGCGACTACGCCAGGCGCAGGGCCCGGCTAATCGGAATCTGGCGACGACACTTTAGTCCGGTCACGACCTTGCCCATCTTCTATCCAACCCTTCATATCCATCGTGTCGACGAGCACCTGCAGCTAAACCCCGCCATGTCTTCGACGAGCCGCGCCCTTCGACAAAGTAGTGGCGGTCGCACGACCTACCAACGAGATTCCCGCCGCGTCCCCACCTCTTCCCAGACCATCGCGCTTTCAGCTTCGACGGAGCTATCTGACACTGAACCCATTCCTGTCTTACGATTACGCGGTGCCTCGCTTGATAACTCTACCGCCACCACTCGCTCTATCCGCTGGGACGAGAGTGTCGTGAACAATGAGGGGATGGGGAAGAAGAGCAGTAAAGTTTGCTGCATATACCACGCACCTCGCGAGTTTGGCGAGTCATCCGAGGAGAGCAGCAGCGATAGCGATAGTAGCGATACGGATGAACCTCATAAAAACGGCGCCGTCTCCAATCGAACGCAAGGTCATGCCCAACCAACGAAGGGAAGGCAACCTGCATGCGGAGGAATCAAGAAGAAGCGACGACCGAATGCCTACGAAAAGACCTCAAAGCCCCGTAAGGACGATAGAGATCAAGAGCCTGCTCCTACAACTGACCCATCACTTGCCTGCTAAATGATGATGTATGAAGAAAATGAGACTTTTGCAGTGGCTGGATATTCCCTCAAAGTCTGGAGCGAGGGCGTTGCGATTTATGGTTCCTAGGCGAATAACTGGGGAATTCTTTGTTAACACAGCAAAGTTCACAGCGACATTCTTGTTTAGATGATGGCGAGTGCATCGCTTTTTTACAGTTGTAGTTGATTAAATCCATCTTGTAAAATTTAATCCAACTAATCGTTTCCAAAAGCTGGTCTGGCCCCATCTCACAATACAAGTGTTCAAGACGGCAACTTAGTGCTATCACGACTATATTTGCAAAAGTTAATCGTTAATCGGAATTTCATACACAAGGTAAACTTTGTCTGGTCCAAGCCTCCCATTCCCAGATTATTTACCATTGCTCTTGAACTAATCTACAAACTCCAGCCTTGCCCCACTGCGCTTATCAGTCTGCTCGCAAGAACCCTAGGTCACTACTGAATCCCTCATAATCTAGAGGTGGCATGATATCGACATTGTTCGAGCAAACGGTCATGACGATTTAAAATTCCTATCCTTCAATCTTATTTACATACAACAATCACCGAGTAAAACTATAAACTATGAGCTCCCTACCCAGACATTCTATTAAATATTCCTGACAATAATTCAGAACTATGTACAGCTTCTCGCATAGCTGTACAAAGGAAACACATTCATATCAGCCTTCTGACCATTTATCATAGTTCCTCCTGTTAGAAAATAGATGCGGAGAATTGCACGTTTCTCTCTAGTAAATTTCATTTATACGAAACAGGTTTACAAATGTTACCATGAACCATTTCCGTCAACCTAACGCTAGATTATCTCTGTACCATAAATTTTAGAATTCCGTCAAAATCTAAGCCTAGGTTAAGAATCAAAAACCACACTCACGGTATTTTAAAACTCGTACGTCTAGCTAGAACATCTGTATCTCTCGCTAGAAACCCTGCCGACTCTCTCAGTTTTGTTTTTATTGTAAGCCCCTTCTCTAGAAAGCCTTATTCTGGATGTGAACCTCTGAGACTTCTTACCGGCATAGCAGATTTCAGAACTATGGCTGCCAGCTTTGATACGGTTCGTGGCATAAGATTCCAAATACTTGAAAAGTAACTTGAACTATTCGCACCAAGCCTCAAGCTCAAAATTTTTGTCGTATTTTACGAGATACGTGAATGACACTGAAGACGCGCTGGATTCTATGCCTCTAAACTTGCTAATTTGTGCGCCAAATTATGTAAGACTATAAACAACTGATAATAGAATACCTACAGTTTCATTTGCAATATATGGGCTCTCAGTACAATACTTACCTCTTCAAGCAGTGGCCAAGCTATAAAAATTTTCGGGGAAAACTTTATAAATTCTACATTCTAAATCAACCCGGCTATTCTGAGAGGTTATCGACCAAAATTTCATATAGTCTCGAAGTAGGCAATAATAGATGCTTGTCTTGCTTTGTATCTATATAGACAAAAGCATCTAGCTAGCTTTAGTATCAAGTGTCGACGATCTCATCTGGACTTATACCATAATAGCCTCTCGTTGAAACGAGGGCAAAGCTGTACGCATATTTAAATTTCTACTAAAAGAAGTACACTGGAGTTCTTATTTTGGCCTAACAATATCATTCTACAGGTGTAATTAATAAATGGCGTGGAGTTACTAGCTGCAGAGTGCTAGAGCACGAATCTTCCGTCATCTCTATAGAGATATACCTGTTACAAAGAAAGATCCAGCACGCCTCACTATTAGCTTTACTCCTTGTTCAACAGACAATACAATCGACATGTAAGAGGATAAAACTGTCCGCAAACAGGAGAGAAACTCCGCATGCCTCGAACAGAAGTAAAGATATCGCCGAATGGACAAGAACTTGCGGAAGGGAAAAGGACAAGGGGAGGCAGAAAGAAGCTTGAAAGATAGCGGCCTTTCAGGAGTGGAAGAATTCATTGATAGGCTAGAACAGGAAACAGCGCCCGGCCATCCAGCATCAGCCGATCCAGAACATTGGAAAGCGACAAGTATATTTACCGATGAACAAACAGGCAGCACCAAAATAAATTTTAAAGACTTACCTTTAAACATCCACCGTACCCTAACCAGGGCCCAAAGTAGTGTCGCCATTCAGCTAAGAAGCGAACATATCGGGCTAAATTCTTACCTGTATAGAAGGAAAGTACCCGGAGTAGAAAAGCCAAGCTATCAGTGTGGATATCCGTCGCAAAACGTCAAGCACATGGTGTTGGCGTGTCTATAGTGGGGAAATGGAAGAGGCGACTTTCTTCGACAAGCTAAAGACAGGTCAATTGAAACAATAATGAACAGCCCAGGAGATGTGACTAGAATCATACAGTGGATACTAAGAAAAGGTGTATAAAACAGTTTCGACTTGCAGGGAAAGTCGAGGTAGCAATTGTTACAGGCAATTGCCTTGTAGATGGGATCCGGAGTTTATCCGGCTCCTAGGAGTTATTTATGTCAGCGATAAGCGAGACAACATTTAGGGGGTGATCCCACAAATATGTAGTTTTTCTCTTTAGACACGAAATAAACCCATTTTGGATACACTCGTGCGGACAGCTATTCACTCTGGTGCCATCCTTTCACAGCCATGTCGGATATGATAAATCAATCTGAAAAGGGAGGGGACCGAATCCTCCCTGGCTGAACACAATAAACTGCACTTCCTGAAGGTAAACTAAATAAATTGATAGTAATATACACAGGCAGGGTCATAGTGTTTTCACCAAATTGGTTTCCTCCTTAGTAAATAATGAAGATAGTCACCTGCATGGACCTATAGGATGCCTGATAGGGCTAAATGAAATCAAATTTAAAATCAAATGGCGTAGAGTCCTCTATATTATCGGAAATCCATAAATATTGGGTTAAAATATTTTATCAAGGCAAACTATTCCACCTACTCATGTAAACTAAGCTAGTCATGTCACATGACCTGACTATCAGTACATATACTTCATCTGTAGCAGTAGAGTTCTCTAGCCAACATTTACAACGTAATACCGTGTCCCACGTATCTTTCTTAAGATATTTAAGCATCTTAGTATATTCCCCACGCAACCTGCGACAACCTCGATACATTTTTAAGCTAAATCCAGTTAGATATAATTGGCCCTTCAATCAGACTGGCACAAAGCTGTAACTTCCAGAACGTCTTTGACATTTTGTATTTACAATGGTACAAGTCTGTTTCGTAAGGAGTCAGTTAGACCTCTAGAAATGTCTCCACAAGCGAGCTTTTTAGCGAGCACCTCTACAAAAGCCATCCTCGTGGCTACATATGGGCACTCATCTAACGCTTGGAATCCATGTAAATAAGGCAATGCACCGCATTTGATCTTCAAATTGCTCACCCGTTTATTAAATTATAAATAATAATTGTTGCCGCCAACAAGAGCTTTCTAAAGCTTAGATTTAGGAAGTTAAGCTCGACCAAATTACCACGTAGACTCTTGCTCGCTATTGATAGAGATCTCACAAGTATTTTTGTCGAAGTCTTGGGTAAAATGAAGCTTATGATATGAGGGAAAAAAGATTACGCCTTCAACTTCCCTTCTAAATAAAAGCGCCGGACCTCCCTCACCCATCGCGACATGTTCGTATAGGACTTACCATAAATAGTAATAAATAGTACTAGTGCTGGCATATTCTTTCTGAGCAGTCTTCTTGCAGTACAATAGACAGCAACCTCCATTACGGTCGAATTATTAGACGACAAAATTGTCACGATATGGTCAGAGTTCACCAAAAAGATGGTTGTACTAAAGAACGGGAAATAAATCCGAGGCAAATTTTAAAGAAGAAAAGTATTAGTCTCTCAAATTTTTCCAAAAGCATAAAGTTACGCTGTCTCGAAGCTTAACTCCAAATAAAAGGTCACGGAATACCCTCGAATACTTCAGTCCAAGTTTTGGAGATGTTTCTCGATACAAAACCCCATTGAGGTGTACATGCAAGAGAAATCTAAGAATAGGCAGACTCAGATGCAGTCTTTTATTAGGCTCACCAATTCTACCCAGGTGACACGAAATATGGTCATAGTCTATACCATCGAGCGAGATGAATAGAGTTCGGTCAAGTTTTCTAACATGAAGATAATACAAGAGTGTAATGATAATGAGATATTCGGAAGTCATACTGCAGAGTGATGACGAGTCTATGATGTTATATTTTGTGGGAGATAGTGAATAGACTAACACAATACTATGCTGTACATATATGAACAGAAAGTGCGGAGGGCAAGACTGAACACCTGTATGCGGTGTCCTCTACGAACCTGGGAGTCAAATATTCTCCCAGAGCCAAGTTCAGCCAAATTTCGTAGTATCAATGAAGTTGGCCTACGAGGCAATGATTCAAATTACTCCACCATGTCAATCTTTCATTCCCAAAGAGTCCAACCCATACCTAAGCCTCATCAAGTCTACAAGTACGACCTAGTACATCCTCATTTCAATGACCACACCTCTCTTCGAGCTTCTCTGGCCTCAGTTGACCACCAAATACACGCTCACGCTGATATTTACACCCGCCGGAGGAAGCAAAGCGTGGCGCACAAATCTGGGAGACAGTTCCTTGGGATGGACGTGAGAGGGATCAGGACAGGTTGACAAAATGATGCGAAGGAAGGATTTAACCTCGACGGGCGTGAAATTCTAAATTTTGGCAAGAGTTTTACGAATTGGGCTTTGTGCGTGCCTAGACTTCACTTGCAAGAGTGCAGCTGACACTACAAAGACAAGCAGAGGGAATGCGCCATGGCTCGCCTCCTGGTGGTGTTCTCTGGTATAGTTTGAGTAACCTAGACACCTACTTCACTTGGGAAGGAGACATCTCAGATTACATTTCGCGCGGAGAAAGTTGATGGATGACGGAGGCACGTCTGGATAACTCGGGGTTTTGGAGATGTTTTCCTCGGTGAGTATTCACGGCTAAGGGTTGACTTGGGGTGAAGAAAAAGCCACCATAACCTCGCAGTGGTACTTGCAAATGAAATCTGAGGCATGAGTGCTCTTTCCTTACATTGAGTCATCTATTATGTACTTTTTTTTGATAATGTGTCATAGCTAGATAGCTGGATACGAAATTAGAATCTGATGTAAAAAGCAATAATTACGAATTAAAACGAGCTGTAGTTTTAATCGCTGCTTCTAGACCTGTATTCTTCTATTAGCAACTACAGGTGAACTGTTACTTAGGTACGGTATCCAAATAAGCTATGGGTCACTTGCAGTCAAATACTATACCACGAATGTGTAAGCTATCTCCGTTAGACAAAGCCATACGAATCAGTAGCTTTTCTTACTGTTATTTGCGTCTTAATTTTTGATACTGTGGAAAGATAAGGCTTCCATGATCTTTGAATTCTTGACATTTATGCAGTAAATCCTCCATTAAAGAACGGCTCACACCCGTGCCGTTGAACCGTGAAGGTGGCGGCCATACCCACGCGTACTAGCCCAGCCGTAAAAGTCGTTGTGCAATCTAGAGCAGCGATTCTCGATGCAACAACTCCGGTCTAACGCGTTGACCAGTGCATCATGTATTTACTGAAGTTTGGATTACATGGTTGTATTTGGGTCTGACCGTAGATACTCTTGCAAAGATGCCTGAGCGGTACTAATGGAACGGAACGGCACGAAGCGATCTCTAGATAATCGGACGACTTGAGCAAAAGCTAATTTCAAGATTACCTCTCATTTTCCAGTATGTTGTCGTGCTTAGAAACACGCCAATCCAGCCGAGTCGATAAGATGCGACGACTCAACCGTGAAGCATCCTCGCAGCATTGTTCATAAGCTGGAGAAAATCACGTTATAACGGACTACGATTTTCTATCATCTCGCGGAAAAATGCGCATATTGTGGTTTAGCCACGACCATGTAACCGTCCGGGAACCCCGTTCGTCTCAGCGCCTTATTGTGGCTAGGAGTTGGAGCGTCGATTAGATATTTTATTTACGTATCCTCAACTAATTTGAAAAGGTCTTGCATTCTATGACGAGATGGTGTTTAATAGGTGAACTTTACCCGAGCTCTCCCGCCATATGTTAGCAATATTTCAAGGTCAGAATGATAGCGCTACTGGCAGCTTTCATGAGTGCAGCCTTAGTTCGAACTACGACTATATCAAGTTGCTTTCAAATTCCACCAATACGAGCGGTTTTACGTGTAGAACTTGTTAGGTCAATCATCAGCTGAAGATAACTAGTTTTAGGTGTAGCTCAATCGTACCCCATAAGGTACAATGATAGCATTGCCAATTTTGCACGCCACATAAGGGTTTAAAATAAGGCGATATCAAACGTAAAATTTGCGCACATCTGGCTAGTTACCGAAACATTGGCACTTGCAGCAATTCACCCTAAAACTTGTGCTAACTTTTATCCTAAGGATGAAAATGAGTTGGACGACACATTTAGCCCGGTCGACTCGAGCTGCATCCACGAATCCGTCAAAAAAATATTGTCGACCAAGAGCTCTACATGCACCATCCAATGGACATAATGCATCCCATTGCCTTTCGAAAATTTTCTATCCTTTGAAAAGAACGCCTAATAGTGCCAGGTCACCAAGAAAACATCCATCCAATCTCAATTTTATGCGGCACAAGGCCTCGAGACACTTCCACCAAGCTTGCCATCTTATGAAACAAGTGTCTTTGGAAAAGCCAAAAGAGGTATTAAGTATGGGTGGGAAGCTTAAGAGATTGTCAAGAGAGTATGGATGGAGTGCCTTCGGTGTTTATCTGGCTTTGTCTGCTCTAGACTTTCCACTGTGTCTATTATTGGTCAGGCATCTTGGAGCCGACAAGATTGGTGAGTAAAATCTCTTTGAAGAATCTGTATCCTTAGCCTAATAAAAATCTTTCAAACTGCACTTATTGTATATAATAATTCTATAAGCGATGCGTTTCGTTTTCTCTTCTTTTACATTTTGCCTCTGGTCTAATCGAATTGTCTTTCCGCTTTAACCAACACAAGATAGGAGAATTGGAGGACCATATCATTTCAACAGTAGATAAAATCATTCCCGACCAGATACAGAAAATCTATTACGAGGCGAAAACTTCAATAATTCAACCAAAAGATCAAAGATTTTGCGAAGAACAAGTCGTCGAGTCGGGGGGAAATACCGGCCTGAAGATGGAAGACAATGAGAGAAATAAAAAAAATGCAAGTAAGTTGAAACAAGTTCTCTCATACCGAAAAACAGTCGATAACGAGAATAGGCATTGCTACGCAACTTGCACTTGCCTACGCCATTCACAAGTCCTTCATATTTTTTCGTGTTCCCCTCACAGCTGCTGTCACACCTAAAATTGTAAAAACTTTGAGATCATGGGGATGGAATATCGGCAAGAGGGCGAAGAATTAAGTAAACGAGGCTGACTCCTCTTGTTATTAATATTTTATTCGGGACCACTAGCGAAGAGAGGGAAGTTTGTATCATAAGGGAAATCAAAGGAAAAGGAAACTATGGGTAAATCTTTCTTTGTTTTATTATGGATTATCTTACGGAAAAGGATTGCACTTTACCAAGCTATCTGTCAGCTTAAGAAGTATCCGGTGTTTATGGACTTGATCGAATTTCAATTTATACACAGAAACAAGCTCGAATCTGAGATCGATACTTTTGACGCCAAGACTCTTGCAACTATGAACTTAAATATGGACACATTAATCTAGGCCGTCTACCAATATCGTTCTTTTGCAGTACAGCTAAGGGAGAAGGTGGTTAGATTTTGAGCTGGTTCAACTCAGAGATGGGATCTTGATACCGTGCCGAACGTGTCTTCTAATGAGATCTCTAAAGCTACATGCAACATTAGCTTATATATTAAAAGTAAGATGGGGCATATGTAATAGACTAGTTGGACCTGTTGCTTTATGCATGATCATGTTGATAATGATGTTTTTACCGTGACCGTAGTTTTAAGCACAGTATTATATGGAATATTAGTTAAACTAGTCGCGTAGTACCGAAAGGTACTATTCGAAATTGATAAGAACTTTGCTGGAATATGAGCAGAAGCTGCCTGTAGTTGATCTTCTGCTCACTTATTCTATGCCCATTTCATGAGACTGCTACGTTGCTTTTTCTGAAACCAAACTGTGAAGGGACTTCGCATTTGTTATTCGCAATTATGGGTCCAAAAATGAATTAGCATTTTTTCTCAGTACTGCAACGTGCGCGCGCTTGGAGGGCAAGACTGAAAACCTGTACGCGGTGTCCTCTACGAACCTGGGAGTGAAATATTCTCCCAGAGTTAAGTTCAGCCAAATTTCGCAATACCGAACAAGTTGGCCCACGAGGCAATGATTCAAATTACTCCACCATGTCAATCTTTCACTCCCAAAGAGTCCAACCCATACCTAAGCCTCATCAAGTCTACAAGTACGACCTAGTACATCCTCATTTCAATGACCACACCTCTCTTCGAGCTTCTCTGGCCTCAGTTGACCACCAAATACACGCCCACGCTGATATTTATATCCGATGGAGGAAGCAAAGCGTGGAGCACAAATCTGGGAGATAGCTCTTTGGGATGGACGTGAGAGGAATCAGTACAAGTTTACAAGATGATGCAGAAGAGGGATACGTTTTCGACGGGCGTGTAATTTCGAATTTTGGCAAGAGTTTTACGAATTGAGCTTTGTGCGCGCCAAGACTTCGCTTGTGAGAGAGCAGCTGACAATATAAAAACAAGCCGACGATGGAAGGTGTAGTGGTCCGCCTCCCGGTGGTGTTCTCTGGTATAGTTTGAGTAGCCTGGGCACCTACTCCACTTGGGAAGGAGACATCTCAGATTACATTCCGCGCGGAGAAAGTTGATAGATGACGGAGGCATGTCTGGATAACCCAGGGTTTTTGAGACGTTCCCCTGGGTGGGTATTCACGGATGAGGGTTGACTTGGGGTGAAGAAAAAGCCGCCATAACTTCGCAGTGGTACTTGCAAATGAAATCCGAGGCATGAGTGCTCCTATTGTAAACTGAGTCATCTTTTCTGTACTTTTCTTTGATATTGTGTCATAGCTAGATAGCTGCATACGCAATTAAAATCTGATGCAAAAAAAAAAAATTGCAAATGCAAATGTAGCTAGCTAGTTAGGACGCAATATTACTTCATCTAGCGCTACTACTATGGCAAATAATAAAAATTTTGCAATTGTATCAGATGTCTCTTTAGTCCAGGAACATTCACAATCTAAATTTCACTTTCAAAACTCGAATTGAGATGTGGTCGTTTACGTAGAACAGTGAGTCTTTCTCCGTGAGTACCCGCCAAACAAAAGTTTCAAAGCTTCGGATATCAAAGCATAATTTTGGCATTCATGCACCCAGGTACCGAGAAAAATCTGGTCGAGTCTTGCCACATATGAGCCTGTCATTTCCTATCTTGAGTGAGATAGGTTTCCATGCTACCCAAACTCTAGATCGCAGACGGTCCCGGATTGTGTACTAACGCTACACTCAGCCATTTTTGGCTGGGCTTGAGTCTAGAAGAAAATTTGACACCTAGGTACGTAGGGGACACCGCGTACAGGTGATCAGTCTTTGCCCTCCGACACAATACTTCGTGGCGTGTTCTAGTTCTATTCTATCATTCCTCGATTTGAATAGCAATACTTGCCTACAGAGCAGTATTAAGAGCTCTATGGTTGGGAGGGTTTAAGAACCGAGATCGCAATGACCTGGTGAGTATGGGCCCTCACAAGGTCCAGGACCCCTGCAAAACCCCGAAGAACGTAATCTCTTCTCGTGTAACATAGTTCATCATGGTCCAAACACTGACGTCAGCTACCGTTAGACCGAAAATAAGAGCCACATATTGGAGCCCGGGGACTCGATAGGCATGGAATATGTTGTGCGTTGAGCATACGGGGTGGACAGGATATTTAAGATCTGATTGTTTCAACGTACAGCGGGCTGTTTATTTTTCAAAATTTCACGACAGCTATACACCCGCAAATGGCTATCGTTTCGTTGGCTGGAGGGGGAAGATAATTACAGGATAACGGCTCCTCTTAGTGTGTACTCGAATGAAGACCTATGGGTATATTACTGCTAGAAAGAAGTCGTGAAGGGGGACTATTCTAAACACCTATCAGTGGTGTTCCTTACGATCCTCCAGATCTCACTGTAGAGTTTAAAGAGCCGAGATTGAGTAACAAAGTCCTCACTTAGATGAGGATTATCATTCGCTTTCGCCGTCTTTATCGTCTTCATATATAAGCGCATCCCCATATTTGCACTATCATGAAGCTAACCACCATCAGATCAGATGGTAGGGTCGGAGTCCTACTCATCACCAACCCTTGATCATGGAGGAGATGCCATCCGATGAGTTTCCGGAGCTTACCCAGCACCTGATACAGAGATGGCGGATTGGATCAAGTCGGCCTCGACTGTTACAAAGAAGGGAGATATAGATGAATATGCGCACCTCATGTGGTCTAGGTGTCTAGGCCTCGCCTGGCTGGGGCTGCAGGTTTTTTGAGACTTTTTCCCGCGCACGCAGTTTCCGTTGCTACCATTTTTTATTTGGGTAGAAGGTTCCGTGGAAAAGGTGGCCAAATTCCACGGGTAAACACTGAGCTGAATGGCTATTCATCATGGGTAATATATCAATGATCTTTCAAGTAACAAAAGAGGATAGGAACACTATACAAGGTGTGGCCTAGGCCAGAGAGGAGCCCAATGTGCTAGATAGTCATAGACTCAAGTGGCACAATAAATACACACACACAAGAAATCGTGAAGGAGGGATAGGAGGGAGTACACAACCCGAGGCATAGATACTCCCAGTCTGTAGGCAGAGAGGACCTACATGTCCTTCCATAGTCTTAGACTTTACAGGAGAATTAACACATAAACTCACATACCTAATTGGTTTTCTCCTTTACAAACATTAAATCTAGAAATTGTCTAAAGTAGCTTGTATATCACTAGGGGCTAGTCTTAGCTTCTGTGAGATCGGCGATTTAAATGACTAATATGGACTAGCTCAATTAGCTGTAGTCAAGGAAAATTCTCCTGTAAGCTTTCCTTGGTATGGTAGTTTTTTTTTGGTATTGATAATATGACAACAGCTTGTACGCTTCCAATCCAGAATTTCAATAGATATGTCAATATGGGCCCAAAAGTTACCTGGACAGGCTCAATGATATCAAAATCAAATATGCATGGTGTCAAAGTAACTTTAATAAATATATTATTCGCTTGAACTAATAGCTGCGGTAGCTCAGTGGTAGAGCGGAAGATTGCAGCGGTGTAATATCTTCAGGCCCTGTGTTCGAACCACAGTCGCAGCTTCAATAATGTCTTCTTGATAGTCGTCGTCGATGCAGAGTTGGGTACTGCAAGTTGTTTTGTAATCGTTTAAAATACAGATCATCTGAATTCAAATTAGTAAAATTTATATATCTAGTTGTGACGCGTCATGGCTGCCCGACAAACATGCTACATGGCTTTTTCCTGGCAAAGGTAATTTCTTCACCTTCCAGCAGTGCCGTTGTGGCCACTCGTTATGCCGTGCGAATCTGGGATAGCTGTAAAAGGACTGATCACGATAGCTGTCCGCATAGGTGAATCTAAAAATAAAGGTTTATATTCTGTATAACGAAAGAACTATATGAGCTACACAATTGAGTATCTACTAAGTCTTACGTAAGTCACTTCAAGCCTGACTATCCAATGGTCACGTGAGCAATCGTTACATGTGGAATCGGATAAGTCCGATTCTAATCCTACAAGGCCCTAAGCCTGTAACAATAGCTACGAGAATCGACTCCGGATTGCATTCGAAAGCAGACTAGAGCATATCTGCATTTGAAAACTTCTCGACAATGCCTCTCTCACCATTATCATCTGAGTCCTCAACCCATCTTTAACCACGCATCAACTCGCCTCGACGACCAATAAAGAAGTTGCTCCCATTGCATATAGGAGCTTGCTCCATTAATTTCCAGCCATATCTCACTACATATTTACGACGCTACGTATACCCGCAAGGAGGAAATCAAGTCGAAAAATACAAAGCCTGGGTCATGGCTTATGGGGGACTGTTGCTCTAATGGGACAAACAACTTGAGGAAGAACAGGCGCCTGGAATGTGGAGCGAGAGGGGAAGGACGTCTCTGATGATCATGCTGAGACTGACATTTTCGAGGAGTTTTCAACTTTTGATTTTTGTGGGCACCAAGACTAAGATTTCGACTAATTAGCCAGGAGGGCCTCTATTGTTGATGAGTCAACGGCACTCCCGAGTGCCCTGGACGGCATAAAAGAAGCTAGGTTAAGCTTCTATACAGCAATCACGCTATGTCAAGACTTTTCTGACATTTCACTACGACTTTCGGGAAGGAGTTGGAAGGAGGCTAGAAAGGCAGAGTGTGAATTTCCCGAGGTACCCACAAGTATGCAGCGGCCAGCTGGCCGGCCTCTTCGAACGCTTCGGAAGGATCACGATGTCTTCGGATTTAGTCCTGATGTCGGTATTAGGAGAGCTCCGCACCCAGTGGTTTTTTGCGATTTTTCCCGGCTGCCATACACCTGCAAATGGCCATCGTTTCGTTGGCTGGAGAGGGGAGAAATTGAAGGGCTAAGGGCTCCTCTAAGTGTATGATCGAATGAGGACTTGTGAGGGGTGGTACTGTTTGAGGGGAGCTGTATGGGAGGCATAGGAGGGGATATACTACTGGTATAGGTATCTTTGGCCTGTAGGCAGAGAGGACCTGCATGTCCTACATAGTCATAGACTCAGACAGGACAATAAAATGAATTAATAAAAGTAACTACCGAATTGAAACTAAGGACAGCATTTGTAGTCACGTGTGTATCAACAACGTGGCCTACTTGATAGCCCCAATTATTCTAGATTCTAACAAAAATAAAAATAACCGGTAGGTAAAGAGTTCTTATGCTATGCGCGGGCACGAAGTTAAATAATATAAATAAGTAAATAAAGAAATATGAGTGCTAAGGGTGCCAGTCATGTAGTAAGTTTATATGTAAACCAAACTAAAGTAATTATAAGTGTAAAAAAAATATCAGGTGTTAAGCACAATGCGTAAAGCTAACAACTATGGTAGAGACTTTATCCAAGATAGCTAATATTTCTCGAAGATGATCAGGATCCTTGTGGCAACGGATGAAAAATTGGTAGAGGTGACGAGAATTAATTAAGAGATTGAAGAGAATTATCAGGAGGTGAGATGAGAATTAACTCTGAATTTTGGTGTTCTTGCAATGTAGTAATCCGCAATAGACATGAAGGAAGCTTCAATGGGAATTTACATGTACCTAACTTAAATTTCACCAGGCTATGATTGGCTCAATTACAGACTACTATTTTTTATACAAATACCCACTGCTTTTACCATCAGATAAGGGATATGTGCATGCAAGAGAGTGTTGGCTAGATAAATAATAAATATCCTGAATGACTGGATAACTGGATAACTGTGAAATTCATTTTCAGATTTGCTTCTTCATTTCTCCTCCACATCCCGTTCTTGCTGCTTGTTTCCAACTGGTAGTTACAAATTTCATTGACAGGCAAGTTTGATCATGCCTTTACCAATTCCAGCTGTCACTAAATTTGACAAAAATTTGCAAAATTTTTGTTTTGTACAGTAGTTCATTTTACAGACCAATTTGATTTTTATCAAGCGGCTTGAACACACGTACCGGTGATTATTAAGACATACTTGTTAGATAGAAAGGGTTGAAGAAAATCAAATCTCGCTGGTATATTCGGAGTTTTTTGTAAGGTAATCGACCTGGAGGTTCGAGTAGTGACTTCGAGTAGTAATATCATCTCGATTCCGAAGATGAGCAATCTATAGACCACAGTAGTCGAGCTAGAAGATACGGAGTTCCGAGGCGGTAAGTGGAAGCTACTGGCGTGGCCAGAGCTATAGTTACTGGATCCAGATATTCTAGCCTCTATCATGCTATACACTTTGAGATACTGAAGACCATCAATGGCCTCGCTGGTACAAAGGCATTAATCCAAATAGTCCACACACCCACAGTTATCTCTGGCCAACCTAACAGGAAAAGAATGAAGTGAAATGGAACACAATAAGTGAACCAGATATAGAAGTCCAAGTAATTCATTTCTTAATTCCCAAGTGCCAATATGTAAATTTTAGTCCTGCTTCAGCTTGTTGAGATCGAGAGGCTATTGCATATAGGTGACTGGCCATTTTTGACACTACTGAGCATGGATTTAGTAGTAAGTGCGCCAATTATAGTCTGGGTTGAAGATATTTGCTCCCTCGGATTTCTTGCAATGGGGCCTTTTTGATTATATCCATACACGTAGATGGGTAGCTTATCCCACGAGGGTAAGGCCTACCTTTTTGCATTAAAGCCTCTTAATTATTCCCGCTTCTTTCCAGTGACGCCTGAGATGCTTCTACCAAATGGATGTTAACATCAATTTGCCTTAAAGATTTATTTTCACGTAATTTCCTGAAATTTTGTCAGAGAGATGCTTATGACCCAGAATATAGTATTGAAAGTTACCTGGAAATTGTCCTTGTTTCCCTCTGATTCTACCAGTCCACCATTCGTTTTCATTGCTGGTTCTTGATAGTATGTCAATAATATCGCCGGCCTTGAAACTAATATCACTCTCTGCTTGAGCCTCATAGTCATATAAAGCTGTTACAGTCTCGGTAGGTGAAGAAACACTAAATCTAGCTGGTTTTGGTTTCGGTGGAGGAGGGGCTCCCTTTGCTTTCGCTACAGCTCCCCAGGCTGAATTCGTAAGCTGAGCGCTTCCGGGATTCGGTTCCCTTCGACTGTGTGGTGATAAGCTGGTATATGGTGGAGGTGGGGTGACTGAGCTATCCGTCATAGTGTGCATCGGAGGTGCTTTAATAGCCAGCGGCTTAATTCCAGGTTTTGTAGTAGGTTTAGGAGTGGGCTTACTTTCCTCAATGGCAAGTCTATTAGCTGGGGCGCCAATGGCAGGGGTAGGTCTCGGAGGTCTTTTGAAGCCTGCCGACTTGAACTTAGTGATGGATAAGGATTCAGCTCGCTCACGAACATCTCCTTGTTTAATTCTGAATCCTTCTTCAATATCAGATTGCAGGTTAAAGTATCCAATGTCGCATCTTTGCATCTTTTCATGAAGTGTATAAAAGACATTTAACTGCATGTAATAGAAAGATTGGAATAAAGGTTTGATAAGTTCTCGTTCAAGACCGAAAAGTGTAGGAAGCTCTTCTTTGAGTAGATCATTATAATAGTTGAATTCTTGTGACGCTTGCTCCACATCATTCTCTGCCTTGTACAAGGCTTTTTCATCTTTCAGTGTTTTGTCCTTTTTGTCCTGTAATTTCTTCAACGTTGCCCGATACCTGTCGTAGTCAAGTTGTTTATGGTGACGCTTGAGTGCCGACTTTCGGATAACTTTGACAATGTCCAGTAATTCATTTGCTGGTCTTATAACTCGTGTCTCAATCATCTCAAGTTCAGGTTGGAGACTAAGTAATAGGTCCTTTACTATCGCCTCATATTCTTCACACGCCTGTATCCCTTGCGGATTTCCCTCTTGGACTAACGAGTCTGGATCTGATAGCCGTCCAGAGATGGGCTTATAGATTTCGGCGATAGCCTGAGAGAATTCAATTTGGTGCATCATCATTTCGCTGATAGCTTCAAAGTATTTTTTGCTCTCATCGTGCAACTTTTTTGTTTCTGTCTCTAACTCCTGGAAGCGTCTCTCTGCGTCAATGTAAACTAAATCTTTTGTGTTCTCCCCGAAATTTAACCTAGACTTCAGCGTTTGGGGCGCCTGTCGTTTAATCAGCATCGTTCGACCAACCCCGCCATTCGGCGTTGCTCACCCTGATAATGCTCTTCTGAAAGCCTTTGAAGCTCATTTTAGATTTTTCTGCCAATTCTGGAGACGGAGAGATCGTGTGAGCGAATTTCAGAGGCGGAACGACGGACAAGTCCAATCTAGAGCGAAGTCCTGGGTATAGTCTCACCTCTGTCAGCAGATACTAATTTGTACCGCCACCCACTCGATGACGAGGAAAATGTGGCTTAGTCTACCCCGAAACCCTTTTTGGAAAGGCAGCGGGCGAGAGGGTTACTTGCTTGGCGCGACACCCTTAATAAAGGGCTCTAACCTTGAAACTTGATTTGTAGATGAAGAACATATGAGGGGTCAAGCTACGAAACGCACAATAGCGCATGAATCAATGATGGGAATAGACGAGGACCTCCGAATAATTCAGAGGATCCTATGAACCTTACGAAAGAGTGGTGCGTGCACTTCCTTCCGGACATCACCCAGTCAGTACGTATGGCCTACAGAGGACCCTGGCCTGGACCATGAGTGTAAGATTATTTTGGTCTGTAAATAATATACGTGTGCATTAGGGACTGGTTATCATTACAAAATAATCACTTCATTATCGGCCTAACCATGTATCCCTCCTGTCCCTTCACTTTGCAGCTTTTCACACAGCGGCAATTTGATGACTCTCCCCTTCATTGTCTTCCGCCTCTCCCAATGCCCCTGCATAGATTGTGTGAGTGACTCACCGACCCTATTGCCACACGCTCCTCACTCCATGTGAAATTAACTGTTGTGGATTAGCGTGCAAGATGATGACCAAGCATCAGTCATTATTTTGGCCACGAATGATCTTTCTTGCGACTATTAATCGATATGTGACAGCTGCGAACGAAACAAAAGACAGTCAAAGTTGCTGATCTCTCTGTTAAAGTCATTCAAATCTAGGCCCTCTCTGACAAGAAATTTAGAGCCAGGTATATCGGAAGCCTGGAGCCCGAGAGATTCATTGGAATTAGAACGGTACCGAAGGCCGTGTTTGCCATCACCTTCGGAATATTCAAGCGCTTCGGAGACTATCTCTAGAAACCGGCTCTTATTTTTTACAATCCGCAAGCTCCTAACGTCTATTCTTTCCACTAGATGTACAAGAAAAATATACTTATTCTATGAACTACATAGCTAGAGCATCGATTTACCCGCCAACCCATGGAAGTAGAACGACTAGCATGCTAGGGTGTGGCGGGTTACAAGCCAAGACTGATTCGTAGCCAAAATCGGTTGGCGCATTCAGTACCTTAACTCAGCTGAACAAAATGTATAAACATCACACCCCATGACTTGTAATTATTTTTGATCACCTGGAAAAAGAATAAGCGACTATTCCCTAATCATCACGCTATTTTATTAATCCAAACAGATTATATTTGGGTTTACAACTGTGTAGGACAAGTCGTGACGTAATAGAAGATGCCTAAAAAGGTTTCCATCAACCGCGGTGTCGAAACAGATGATTAGTTTTGCTGTAGCAAATAATTTCCTTCCATTTCCTCTGCAAAAAAACTATTCATGGTACTATCACCGCGAAATAGTCGCAGAAAAGATTTCATTTTAGCCAGCGACCGGCTCAAGCACCACCTTGGAAGTACGAAGGCCGAGCACCAGTTCGTGGTGCCCCCCTCGAACCTGGGAACGAAATATTCTCTTGGAGTGATATTCAGTGAAATTTTGCAGTAACAAGGAAGTAGGCTCACAAGGCAATTACTCAAGACCCTGCAAAACCACATGATGAATTAATGATAAAATATGTATTACCTTGGAGTTGATGAGTAAAGAGGTACCCGTTTGTGATTATTTTTAAATCACAATATTAGTTGCCTACGCATTTATCTAGCCATGAAACAATATCAAAAATCAAGTCAGAATAGATGACTCAATAAAAAAAGTGGAGTACTGATGCCTCGGATTTCATTTGCAAGTACCACTGCGAGGTTTTGAAGGCTATTTCTTCACCCCAGTTCAGTCCTCACACTTGAATACCTACCCAAGGGAAACGTCTCAAAAACCCTTAATTGTCCAGACATGCCTCCACCCATTGGCTAGTCTCCGCGCGAAGTATGATCTCATGCTTCTCCTTTACAAATGAGGTAGGTAACTAAGCTATTCAAACTATACCGGAGATAAACATCAGGAGGTGGACCACAGCTCCTTCCATCATTGGCAACCGGCAAAGACGAATTCTTTACCTTCCAGTGCTGCCGGTGTAATCGCTCAGTTTGCTCTGCATATCTGGGATAGCCAAGAAGAATCGCATCCGAATCGAAGTCGAAAGCAAACACATGCATATCTCCATTTGACGACTTCTCAATCATGCAGGACTCAACATTATCTTCTGAGTCCTCAGCCCCGACCTAACCACATATCATCTCGCCTCGCCGACAGATAAAGGCGTCACCCCAGTTGCAAACAGGAGCTTGCCTCATTCATCACCGGCCATCACTCACTACAAATTTACGACGCTACGTATACCCGCAAGGAGGAAATCAAGTCGAAAAATACAAAGCCTGGGTCATGGCTTATGGGGGACTGTTGCTCTAATGGGACAAACAACTTGAGGAAGAACAGGCGCCTGGAATGTGGAGCGAGAGGGGAAGGACGTCTCTGATGATCATGCTGAGACTGACATTTTCGAGGAGTTTTCAACTTTTGATTTTTGTGGGCACCAAGACTAAGATTTCGACTAATTAGCCAGGAGGGCCTCTATTGTTGATGAGTCAACGGCACTCCCGAGTGCCCTGGACGGCATAAAAGAAGCTAGGTTAAGCTTCTATACAGCAATCACGCTATGTCAAGACTTTTCTGACATTTCACTACGACTTTCGGGAAGGAGTTGGAAGGAGGCTAGAAAGGCAGAGTGTGAATTTCCCGAGGTACCCACAAGTATGCAGCGGCCAGCTGGCCGGCCTCTTCGAACGCTTCGGAAGGATCACGATGTCTTCGGATTTAGTCCTGATGTCGGTATTAGGAGAGCTCCGCACCCAGTGGTTTTTTGCGATTTTTCCCGGCTGCCATACACCTGCAAATGGCCATCGTTTCGTTGGCTGGAGAGGGGAGAAATTGAAGGGCTAAGGGCTCCTCTAAGTGTATGATCGAATGAGGACTTGTGAGGGGTGGTACTGTTTGAGGGGAGCTGTATGGGAGGCATAGGAGGGGATATACTACTGGTATAGGTATCTTTGGCCTGTAGGCAGAGAGGACCTGCATGTCCTACATAGTCATAGACTCAGATATCACGGGTAGGTCTCGTTGGAACGGAGTCAGAAGCAGATCGGAGGTACGAGAGGACGAAATACGGGTAAGAATATATTAATAAGACGTTGCACAATCTATCCTAGAGTGCAACTACTTAAATACTTATTCTTCATTCCTACGCTAGCATCAATCATACAGATAAGTAAGATAATTGTGCGTCATGTGACTTATAGATCAGGTCATAAGCGAGAACCATAGGTACCATGACATCAGACAGGACAATAAAATGAATTAATAATAATAATCATTGGCATGTTTTTAATGTATCAGTGTCAGTGTTTTTGTTTTATTAAAGTCCTCAGCTAAAGCTCTAAGTCCAATATGAGTACTGGACCGGTTTTCACAGCCAGGAGTATATGTAAGTTAAATCCAGCTCGATTCCAGCACTACAGAACTACCAGTCCAATAAAAATATGCGCCGCAGTAACTACTTCCCCCAAAACCTAGAAAACTATACATTGCAAAGTAATTAGAAAGGGTACCAACATTGCTAGCCTCGATTCCCGTCTAGTCGGGTTTAATTCCCTGACAAATTATATTCAATCTCCACTGAGAGTAAGAGTTGGATACACAAGGGAATACTCAAAACAGTTGGTATCCTGCGCATTATTTTTAAAGCTCTCGAAGCACTTAGGTTCGAGTAGCTTGTTTAGGAAGGCACTGTGTGATAATGACCCTTTGATTCGACGCGTGATGTTTGCGTTGAGTCGACAATGTATGAAGTGAGAAGGGATAGTTTCATTCTCAAAGTTGCACTCTGTGGGAGTGTTGTGATTGGCAAGTCTTAGCCAAGATAGGGTTGGATGGTGCAGTGGTACACCATTCGGGCCATTCCCCCAAGTAGACTCTAGGTAGCTTGAACATCTACCCCATTCGAGACAGGAGAAAGCTAGTTCAAGTTCAGTAAAACCTACAAACCACACTCTCTCGCGGTGATATTGTACTTGTGGGATGATGAAAGTACACTCGGATAACCATAGCTTTTCCACGCTTTTCCCTGTGGTGGCTATGTAAGGAAGAGGTTATACGCCATAAGGGTTAACCTCTAGTGGTACCTGCAAATGAAATCTGAGTCTGAGTGTTCTAAACGTCAAATTGAGTTGTCCTACCTAAAATACGTATCTTCCAATAAAAACCTGCATGTGCCTCATGGCGCCAAATCAGGATAATGAATAAGTTATTTATTAGCCATGATAATCACGTGATACTTGTCATGCACGGACTGTTGTATATCTATGCTGCTCAGTACAAGCTAGACCCAACCGCCAGAACTAGCGCTACCTAGAGCGGTCTACACCCGCTTAATCGCTGCTCGAACTGGACATGGAGACTTTGCGGCATATCATCGCAGCTTCAATCACACTGTCGCCAAACTCTACTGCGAGTGTGGGAGGGAAAAATCAATTGGTCACCTTGTCCAGTGTCGAAAAGCGCTGGCAATATGGCGGCTGAAAAGCGGAAAGCGAAGGGCGCCTGCTCTGGAAACTATGCTCGGATCAAGTGGATGGCAGCTGTTTAGGGACTACGCCCAGGAGATCGGAATATACGCGGAGGCTAGTCAGGGGATGGCAGGGATACCTGTGACTCGGAAGTGATAGAACAAAAGCCTGGGTGGTTTGGCATGGAAAGAGGGATAGGAATCGAGGCTCAGGCGCGTGGTGGCTGAGGCGGAACGACGGAAGGGAGATTGTTTAAGTTTTTCTTTTGTAATGCGGGATTTCGGGTGAAACTTTTTGTTTTGTTTTCAATTCTGGGCTACTGAATTCT